AAAGATAGAAAACAGCATTTACAGAGTAACATTTTGCCAGAAAGGCAGAAATGAATTCTTTATTGTAAAAAAAAAATCAGTAAGTAATTGGATGATGTTTGCAGGAGAATGCCTGATCATCTTTATATGTTAGCAAGAAATATTTTGGCAATTTCCTGCCGCATGCCATTAGAGACAGGTTATGTTGAAGGTAACTGACATCTATTAGAATATATAAGTAAAGGATGATAGTTCAGAATGAAAGATATGCTGTTTCTCCCTAATATTGAAAACATTAAACAGAAAAATGAATACTTTCAGGTAAAGAAAAAACAAACGAGAGATCTATGACTCCAGCATTGAAACTACCCGAGAAGCAGAATGAGGCTCCAAGCGTTCAGAGCCTGCAGAACCTGACTCAGCGCCACCCAAGACTCCTCTGATGCCTCCAGCAGCCATCCGGCACTTTCTTATTAAGGTACAATCTCCTGAGTGCCATTCTTCCTGTCTCCCAACTCTATTACAGGGATCATCAAGAGTCAAAGACTTCCTGTTTTCTCTAGCTGTGTACAAACTGTACGGAATTAGATCATAATACATTTATCAAATGCATACACTGAAATCTTACCAGGTCTAGTCCTTTGCTATTTAAAAGGTGTGCATTTATGAAATGATTGCTGCCTCAAGAGGGTTACTCTCTCTGTTGGTGCAGCTATAGGAAGGGAGGGAAGCTCAGATAAGCGTAATGAGAGTGTGTTCAGACTCTACACTCCAGTTTCTTTCACCCTTTCACTCTGCTTACAGGTTAATCCTCTAAATTTATTTCTAACCTTCCAAATTCCTTCAACATCATCAAATCTTCACATAGGCTATTTCCTTGTTGGGATCTATTCCTTCATACATCGTTGCACAACTCTCCTCAAATTTCAGGTACCAGTTAAAAGCTTCCCTCTGGCGAGTTCTTTTTGAGACAGGACTACCCGAAGTGATGAGTCCTCCCATGCTTCCTTTCCAGGCCCTCTTGTCAATAAGGATGATTTCTCATTTCACGGACGTGAATTGAGAGGATTGCTTTTAAGGTGGCTCTCATAACTACCTTCATCTGGGTTTCCCTTTATAGAGTCAGCCCAGCGCAGGGAATATGAGTGCACCAGAGCAAATCCCAGCATAGACGTAGAACAATGACAGTAACTATATCTTTACCTTTTTAAACCTACTAGGTGCTTGTTTAAAATATGTGTTCCTCCTGTACATTCTCCTATCATATTCTGCAATAGTCAGGAGATGCTATTCTTGTCCCAACGTATATGAAATAATGGTGAGATGCACAGAGGTTTTAAATCTCCAATTTCTCAAAGTTAGCATTAGAGTCAAGATTCATATTCTCATTTATTAAATATAATTAGAAAAATTAGTGATTATATGTGGCTTTATATTAGAGTTGATATACCAATATCAGTAATTGAAATTTCAGAATTGAAAGTGTCTGTTTGATTTTATTTGCATTGCCCCAGTCTTGCAAGCTTCTCCTAAGGAATGAGGTGCTCATGGGTCTCAGATGTTGCTCTAAGCTACTCTCTAGAAGTAGAGTCTTCCATCCTCCTCTGAAATGAAAAATGTATTTTTTATTAGATAACTTGATACCAGAAGTGGTAAAAGTTAGATTCATTATCGTAATATTAATGATTGGCAACCATGGTAAACTTTAGTGAAAGTAAAAGTAGTAATCCATATGATTGAAGATCCACTTCCTTGACCTTGAAAAGACATAAAATCCACCAAAAGAATGTCCAGGTGTTCTTGAATATTTATTACTATGATTGATCACCCTAAAAGATTCTGGTTGCCACATGCAGACTACAAAACAAAATTCTGCAACTGGAATTGTGCATTTGAAAGAGTCCTTCTAGCATGTGATGATCAAAACATAAGCCGCTGGCGGCGGTGGCTCACGCTGTAATCCTAGCACTCTGGAGGCTGAGGCGGCGGATTGCTCAAGTCAGGAGTTCGAAACCAGCCTGAGCAAGAGCAAGACCCCGTCTTACTATAAATAGAGAGAATTAATTGGCCAACTAATATAATATAAATTAGCTGGACATGGTGGCACATGCCTGTAGTCCCAGCTTACTTGGGAGAAGACAGAAATGGCATCATGAATGCAGACCTTGTGGATAAGAAAGGCTGTAGAATCCAGTGACAAGTCCAATTATATGTTGATAAATGATGAGAGATGTAGTAAAATAATGAAATTATATTTAGTATGAGATTAAATGAGAATCTCTTTCAAAACCCCGATCAACCCTTACATATGAAGGAATATAGAACAGTAGAAACAGGATGGTGGTACCTTGCCTAAGAAACTGCTGGATGGGAGTTTTTGATATGGCACATAAACATGAGCAGGGGCCACAGTTGGTGTGCTGAATCTGACATTTACAGAGGAAGTCTCTGCTCCTGGGACAGCTTCTTCCTCCTGGAATGATAAATTTGAATGATTTAATCTTTTCTTTTACGATGGATAGTAATATATTTTCTGGCTAGTGTTTTTCTAGATGAGTTGAATGGCATACACATTTTTTCTTTTTTAAAATGCTTTTTTATACGATTTACCTTCTACTAATTTTCCCTGGATAGTGGCATTAATCTAGATTCCTTAACCCACATTTCAGCAGACACAAATATAAGCATTAAAGTCTCTGGTCTGGAAAAGTAAAGACTCATTGATCTTAGATTCTTGGCTCTACCAGTGTTGTAAACTGATGTGAGCCAACATGGTCAAGCACATGTCTTGAGCATATTTTTTGGTAGATAAGCCTACTTGGAGTTAAGGGTAGCAAGTCTCAGAGTCAAGTCAGATGAACGGATGAACGTTTATAGGTGATCTTTTCTCATCAAACAATTCACAAACAGGTTCCTATCACCTGCGTTTTAGGTCCTAGTACACCCAGCTCTTCACATCTTTTAGAACACATTTTTTAGACCAAGTACCTAGTAGGTGCTTAAAAAGTAGAAATATAAATACTGTTATTGTTCCATGTTCTGTGCTGGGAGTTGCTCTGGTACACACATATTCCCTGCACTGTGCTGACTCTATATTAAGGGAAACCCCAGGAGAAGTATTATGAAAGGCACCTTTAAAAGCAGTCCCCTCTATTCGCCCCCGTGAAATGAGAAATTTATCCTTTTTGACAAGAGGACCTGTGAAAGGAAGGCATTGGTCGGCTCATCACTTCATGTAGTCCTGTCTCAGAGAAAGCTTCCAGAGGGAAACCTTTAACTTGGCATCTAAAATTTGTGGAGAGTTGTGCCAATGATGAGATGAAAGGAATAGGTTCCCAACAAGGAAATAGCCTACGTGAAGATTTGTGATGTTGGAAGGAATTTGGAAGGTTAGAAATAAATTTAGAGATATTATCTGTAAGCAACATGGAAAGGGGTGGAAGAAACTGGAGTGTAGAGTCTGAACACACTCTCATCTACGCTTATCTGAGCTCTTCCCCTACCCTTCTTTATAGCTGCACCAACAGGAGAGAGTAACCCTCTTGAGGCAGCAAGCATTTCATAAATGCACACCTTTTAAATAGCAAAGGACTATGACCTGGTAAGATTTCAGTGTACGCATTTGGTAAATGTATTAGTGATCTAATTTCATACAGAGGTTGTACACGGCTATAGAAGACAGGAGAAGCTCTTTCAATTATTCTGACGATCCCTGTAATTAGAGTTGGGAGACAGGAAGAATGGCACTCAGGAGATGGTACCTTAAGTAAGAAAGTGCTGGGTGGGGCTGCTGGAGGCATCGGAGGAGTCTGGGGGTGGCGCTGAGTCAGGGTTGTGC